ATTCTGCTTGAGTCCCCAGTGATGGCTGGATATAGCAGAAAACCTGCAAGTCAAAAACCAGTTTCCTTGGGACTCCCGATAGAACTGGAGAACAACTTTGTCTAGGTGGACATAGGGAGATCACGGGTCAAAAAGGTCTTACCGAGAAGGGCTGCGATCACATTACGCTGTAGAAGGAGGAAAATGGCTGCATTGATACGTAGCGGCCTATGAGGCATCAGAGAGAACGTAGAAAAGGACACGGATCGTTTAACAACGGGAGCTTTTATAATGAGCGGGACTTAGTGTTTGAAGCGCATCCCAAGTTGCATAGAATACCCTGGTCAATTCCCGACTCGGTGGCTAATCGACAAATGGAGAAAGCGCTATTTCCCCCAACCATTCCGGCGAGATAAGGGCGAGATCGCTCACGGAGTACCACGTTTGGGTAGCCTACCACCTCGCAGCCTGTCAGCTCACCCTGTACTTTGAAGGCCAACAAATGGACAATAGTTGCAGAAAGTTACTCCAATGTCGAGCGCAGAAAGAAAGTGTGGCTCATATTATTTAGGCATGCCTGTGTGTGCAAGAGTTTTGGGGTTATTAATCAGTCGTTTGGCGGCAGGAACTCCAGACGCAGAATATTGGGAGATTCTAGGCGAGCTGCGTGGCACGAAAAACACCTCGAATATCAAGAAATATCAAATCGTTGCATTAGGACAACTTCGTCAATGATGCTAAGCTGTATGTACAAGCCTGGAAGTGAATATGATGGAAAATGAGCTCCTACTGCTTAACTACGTTGTTGATTCAGAGAAATACTGTCATACATAAAAGCAAGAAACGTCGGTTTGACCTCCTTCTAGAAAGGGGGGGGAGGCCAGCTGCGGGGCGTAGCGAAAAAAAAATGACGGCAATACTGTAGGTCTTTATGTAAAATATTTCGCGAAGGAAGCCGGTGCTTCCTGGTGAACTTAAAATCTTTTGGTATTCTAGCTTAGAAGTTCCCATTCACTAGTACCACGGCCTGTCGGCTACGTAGTGGCTTCGTAACTCCTCGCTTCCTATTACCAGCATGGCAGCGCATGGGATGCAATACCCAATGAATGGGAATAGGTTTGCCTTCGAGTGACTTCTCACTTCATTGCCCCGCCCAGCCTTGACCAGTCATGTTTGCTTTCGCGACTTACGCTTTCCTTGCTTTGGTGGCGGCCACTCTGACGGCCTCGACTTTGGCTTGATGTATTCCTCAACACATTTGCTGGACTGTTTGTCATTCGTAGCTATCGCAAATTGTGTTGATAGCACCAGTATATCTTTGCTCAGCTGAAGTGCGGACTTCCACGAGTCTTCGATTGGCTCGATTCCTTTCCACCTGACCAATACCTCAAAATCATGTTTCTCCTTGCTTCAAGATTTCTCTTTAGCTCTGACACCGTTAAAACACGACCTTGTGCAGCAATGTGGTGACGGGTCTCATGTGCAAACATGTAAGGAGGCAAAGTGATTCAAAGACTGAAAGGGGGGGGGGGGTATTGAACCGGTGAACGAAATGGTGCACTACGTTTTGACTATCTCTGGGTGACAGCTTCGCTGTAGACCGCTACCTGTTAGTCCTAAAGGACGAGGCGACGCACTTCACAGAGCTTGCCGCCTATCCTAGCCAGACCAGTGCAGAAGTCGTGAAGGCGATACTTGCGTGGCATAGCAGATGTGGAATTCCAGGGGTCTCGGAGCCGGTTCCAAAATGAGGTTATGTTATCTGTGTATGCGCCTGAAGACGCGTTATGAATTTTCGGACAGCTTACTGTCCTTGGATAAACAAAAGCGCGGAGAGAGCTAACTGCGACATTAAACAAGTTCTACGAGTGCTTTGTTTAGAGTACATGGGCGAACCGCATGACTGGAATCGCTACTCATGCAGAATATTTAGTACAGAGTAAGTTTGAGGTTGACGACACACGTCCTCCCAGCCAATTACTTAGCATGTGAAGTATCGAGACAGTGTCTCGATACTTGTCTCGGAGACAGGTTTTGGATGAAGCAGGAGCTATTCACACGAAAGTTGTATGAGGTGCCACCAATATTTGATTCTTTATCTGCTGCTTCTAAATACTGTTTTCAGAGTTTTGGATGCGGTTTTCACCTACCCCATTGTGTACTAAACTTTAGTACTAAAGGCAGACCTCCACTACAACACGTTTGTGGCGTTCTTTTGCTTTGCCTTGAGGATCGCGACCAATTCTTCAAAACTTGCATGACATTCCGAGACTTGAATTGTCGCGTGAGGATCGATCCGCACTGAATTTACAGTAGAATTACTTCAATTCCGTATATATCATGTATTTTTCATGGTTTGAGCTATGCTCTCGCTTCGTGATGTGCTGGTGCGAGACTATGTTGATGAAGTACTGTGCATCGTACCTACACTAGTAATTTTATTATAATTTCTAGCGAAGAGCTAAAAGAGAGGTCGATTAGCGTTTTTGTCCAAGTATCACGTGCCCCTTGGGTCATACGTAAGGAATATGCAGGGCGATTCTTGGCCCACCTCTCGCGTGTCTAGCACTAAAGCCGCGATGTTAGAGAGGAAAGTCTAATGAAGCGACAATTCTAATGTAGATGATAGATTCATGAATATTACAGCTCTGGAAAGTCTGTAGTGTGGCGATATATGATCAGCAGTACTTTTTGGCGTGTAACGATGATGTAAGTGAATTCACATTACTGAAAGATGCTGCTATTCTCAGTTCTTCTCAATATTTCCTGGGGCGGTTCTTTGGATGAATCGCCCTCAACTCGCCCAGCGTGTACAATCCCGTATGCCGCCCCGTTTAAGCACGAAACAAGATCTGACACGTGGCAAGAACAGACTTGGTGGCTTCTACTAATGACTTGGAATTTTATGTGGGCGATTGTCCTCACGCGCCTCAAAAAGACCCAAATTGGCGGAATTCACAATATCTGCAACAAGAAACAGGCTTCTTATGACCGAGAGGTAGAGTTTTTCAATCAACCGTGATTAAACTATATACGAGGATTATCCTCTATGGTTTTTGAGAAGGTCATTCTAGTAAAATAAAATTATTCCGAAGAACCTCTGAAGTTTTAAATAAATGTGTGCCTGCAAGCTCGGAAGGATTGCCACAATGATGGAACTTTCTACGCCGATGCACCTCCTGCACCAGCATCGCAACTGCAACATCTACGAGTCGATCCGGCACTGTCGAAGTTCCTCTTGTGCAATATGAGTTTCAACTTGAATACGCTTGATTTAACTTTGGATTAGTACGAAATGGGGACTCAGTCTGGCAAAGGAAATAAAGGTAAATAATATTTACCTTTATTATGCAGAGCAAGACGCCTACCGGGCTGGTGTTAGTGATAATACAGCCAGTCCACGGCAATGGCTTGTGAGAATTTAGCGCTAGGATTGTTTCACTGTGCGGCGATCTATACCGACAGAATACAGTTGGCACCCTATCGCGTTGTCACCACGAAAAGCGTATTTCACATTATTTCTAATCGGCTTACAATGTACCAGGCATGGACCCTGCTTCTAATTACAAACGTAGGAAAATGGAAGGTCACTCTCGTCTCCAGAGAAAACATGGGCTCCTAGTACTTTGGCTGTCTGAGGCATTTCACCAAAAGCAAATCTATTTGACCCAAGGCATGATTTCGACAAAAAACACAATGAAAAGAAATAAAATCTAAAGCATGTATGTTATTCGTGTTCACATTGCGAAACCTGGATGGCATGTATTGATGCCGATGTGTGCATGGTCCCCCATTGTTATCATGCGGCGGTTTATGTAAAACGATTCGATCCTCCAGATCTGTAAACGTAGGAAACGAAGGCAGATCATATACAGATTTGCGACCGAAATAACGAAGATAATGGGACATTCGAGGTATTCAGTTCACCGATGCACTGTCTACAGATGGAGATTCGTAGAAGGCTGGACAGTGCCGGTTCCTCCATTTAACGTGTTGAAATCGACCGAAGACCGCTGCTCAGTCGAAGGAGACTGTTGTTGTTGTTGCTACTGCTGCTGCTGCTGATGGTGGTCGTTTTGCTGTTCATTCGACGGAGCCTGAGTCGGTTGTTTGTTGTCACCGGGAGCTGGAGCAGGGGCCCATTGTTGCTGACTCGAAGGAGGCGCTGGAGTTGGTTTCGGGTTGTTTGCGGGAGCCGGCGTCCATTGCTGCTGGCTTGGAGGGGGAGCTGTCGTGGGTTGCGGGTTGTTCGAAGGCTCCTGGGTCCACTGTTGCTCGGGCGAAGGTGCTTGAGGAGATTGTTGCTCGGGCGATGGGGCCTGATTATCCTTTTGGTCGGGCGACGGAGACTTGTTTTCCTTTTGTTCGGGGTTTGGCGACTCGTTTTTCTTTTCCTCGTTATTAGGATTCTCGTTTTCCTTCTGCTCGGTGTTTGGTGTCTCATTTTTCTTTTGGTCTGGTGACGGAGATCCGTTGTCCTTGTTATCAGTCTTTGAAGCCTCGGTCACCTTTTGCTCGGTCGAGGGCGATTGCTGGTCAGTTGGAGATGCATTTGCCGCTGAAGACTGCCCCTTGTCCTTTTCCGCTGAAGAACCCTGGGTGGTAGACGTATCCGAAGTCTGCGAGCTTGTCTGTGATCCCTGCGTTTGAGTTGTCGATCCGCCACCTCCTGAGAGAGGAACGCAGCTCATTAAAAGGCAAAACTTAGTAATTTCGGAAACAACACTATTGAGCCTATGGTGAATGCCAGAAAAACGCTCGACATACCGTAGACCTGCCACATTGTATCAAGTTTCAAATTAGACACCATTGTCAAGGGACCTTTCAAAAAGCAAGTCTACTTGTTCCGTGGAATAAATTCTATCAAGTACGAAAGGATATCACGATAAACTACCTGATCTTAAACAGATTCGTCTGTATAACCAGCACCGGGGCCCCAAGCAGAATGGCAAAAGCCCACCGGTATATTAACAGCCAGTTGTTATTAATAGTAGCAATAGTTACTCGCGTCCAACACGTGGCAGACATCGTTGATTGCGTGCGGTTTTGTTTATGGCACTGAATTTAGAACATGTTCTTGAAATTTATCAGACGAAAATGGTGGAAGGTAACCACATTGGCTACAAGGAGGTGACAGGATAGACAAGATCAACTTTGTTGAGTGACTTCATCAACGTAAACTCCTTGTGTTCTGCAACTCGCAGCTTCCAAGCAGTCTTGTGCACGGATTGGCATTGGACTTTTAAACGACCGAGATTTTCTTGCGGAGACGACGAGCAGGAGCGTTGCACTTCGTGTCCTGTGCCTCCGACGATGGAACTTCGGTCGTCTGCGCCTCAGTTGACGGGGTCTTCTCTGCCGGGTTTTCATCAGCTGGAGCTGGTGTAGCTTGAGTCGCAGGAGCTTCCGGAGTCTTTTCCCCATTTGAAGAGTTTTTCTTTGACTGCGTTTCCGGTGAAGGAGCCTCCAGCGCTTGTTCCTCCGTTCTTGAACCAGTAGTCGACTTAACAGGCGCCTCAGGGGTTTTCTGTTCAGCGCCAGATCCACCAGTCGACGCTTGCGTTTGCGTCGCTGAGCCGCTTCCTTGCAGAGGAACACAGTTAACGTACGCCTGCCATTGCGCATTCTGGAACCCCAGCCAGTAGATTGTCAGTGTGCATTTGCCGTTGCACGACGAGAAGTCGACGGGCATCTCCGACATCTTTTCCGAGCCGTCGGGACCACCTGGAAAGTCTTCCTCACAGTTGTCACCGTGAAGAACCATCTTGTCGTCAATGTAAAGCTCGCACGGACCAACGTGAGTGAAGCCTCCACCGCCGTTGCCCCACCATTTAACCTTTCCGTCCGCGGGGATCGGCTTAGGGTCCACGTCCGTGCGTGTATAGCCGCATTTCTTGTCCTTGACCATGTCCAGCACGACATCCTTCACACTCATGCCTTTCTCCTTGGCCATGGTCTTAAACTTGCCGACTTGGTCACCACCAGATCCGATGTCCCAGTAGTTGTCAATCATCGTGACCCATTCGACGGTAGGTGCTCCATCTTCGAACGTCGCTGGAGGTTCCTTGAGATTGCCGTGGGCATCGGCGGTCGGGGCGAAAGCTAGCAGGGTGATAGCAGATAGAACAGCTCCAACCAGCATCGTCGTATTGGCGGTAGACTAGAAATTGGAAAGTGAGCTAATGCTGACAGCACTGAATAATTTCGATGGGATCACGACGTTTTGAGCCCTGTCAAACAGCGAAACACAGTGTGCGTAGATGATGCATGGTTCAATCGTCTGTTTAGCAGGAATGCTCAACGATGTGCTCTTGGACAAAACCCGGACCGGTGGATGGTGTAAAAGTTGTAAACCGTGTAGACGTTACTCTAAGCCAGCGCTGCGTTCAGATCATATTTTAGACAGAAATATACGCCTTTATTGGATTTACTGTTATTGAAAATACCGCAGATGAGTTAGTATGGCCATTTTCGGATAGCGTAACAATAATACCACCTCCGATTAAGTTTAGATAATATGATCATTTTACGATAGCGTCCACGGTAACACGCCAGTTTAAAAGAGATTTCTGAAGTGTCAGTTTTGATTTATCATATCAGCGTTCCGAAGATATTTAACACCTTCTTCTTAACATAAAACTACAGAGTTTCTCAATATGAGTATGTTGTGTCCTGTATAGTTTGAGTTAATCGACCCATACGATAAAAAGTTATCAAATGGCTACACGTTTTAGCGCTTTTACTATCATTTTGAACCCTTTCATTTCTGTACCGATTTTACATTTGTTTTTAAAGATACTGGCAGTACGCACCACAGTTATAAACTCTTGCTACGCACGAAGACGCTCTGAAACTTAGCTAGAAACATAATTAAGTATGCCACTAGGAGAATACAATCCCGCACCCTCGTCACACTGTGCCTGTGTGGTACACCAGGAAAGGAAGCACGACCCAATTGAGGGAAATCGGATAATGATATTGTTTGTTGTTTAAGTATTGTTGTAGGGGAAAGCACCGCAAGCCTCAAAACCCCCGAGATGTCTTCTGACTGTGTAGACACAGCCACTCATAGAGCGTGCACGCATGCACGAGTAGTTCTTAGCACGCTCGTATTACTCTCAGCAAAACTCTCTTTCTCCATCAGTCAGTGACAACAATGGTCAACCACCACTCCTTCACTCATGGTACTCGACCATAATTTCTCGTGAGCCAGTTAGAACAGCCAAAGTGACCATCGACCGCAGTCAGATGCTCGTAGCCGCCGTGGAACTATTTCTGGTCATATAATGTACGGGGTCTTCTATGTGGGGTTTATCCTATACAAATTTGATATTTGAATTAAGACAAGCTAACAAATAAGTGGTCGGTAGTATTGCGTTTTCAGCTGTGTCAATGGCCTAACCCATATTTTCGCGTTTGTTCTCGATTGGATTGTGTTCCTCCACGCTGTCGTGGTGGCAGTAGGAGTCAGTAACACGTATCGACATGACAACATGTACTCGTTCATTATAAACTAATTTTAATCGGAAACACAGCCTCTCAAAGAGTGACAATAGAGATTTGGAATATCGTTAATTTCAGGAATGTGCACCACACCAGCCGCCTGTACGTGATTCTTTGGTCTAGCCCTTGTCCGACGCGGCAGCCGACCTGTCACGGTTACAGAGCACAGTGCTGTCATGTTGATCGAGTTCATCTTTGAAAGTGAAACTAAAATCTGCTGCAGAATTCTTGCACTATCAATAGACCAGTGGGGATGCGCTACTATTGCATAAGGAATTATCTCGTTTTCGCACGTTATAATCCTACACACAGCTTTCGCTTGACACTATCAATACTGTAATTCGTCATACCGGTGGAGAAACGTATTTGCTTCATACATGTCTGCTTCTTGTAGTTGGCATAGCGCATTGTGCAAACGCTTGATGGACTTCACGTGAGTCAGCGGTGGGGTTGACTTCGCCTGGTGGTAGGCTTTGTGCACAATGTAGCAATTGACAATAGCTATGTCAATTAAGCCCAACACGAGCCCCCCTGTAGGTTTTTCGAAACGTAACCAATCTTTGAATTGGATAAGCTGCAAGCGTAACTGATCATTAACGTCGACCCCCCCCCCCCCCCCCACACACACACACACACACACACCATGAACTTGTGATAGTCTTTAATGACTCGGGGTCGACGACTTCATGTTCTTCACCACATTTATCACGCTGAACAGCGCGATGGTGCTCTACGCTTTCACCAGTAGCTAGGAAGTGTAATGGTTTCGAATCACACCAACAAATTGTGTGCATGATATGTATCTGCGTCAACTCCACAATCTTGCACGAGCCTCTATCAACGCTCGCTGGATTTTTCATTCTCTTGTCGTAAATATCTTTGCAAAATCCGAGTCGACTCGTCATAATCATCCCAACACTGTAAAAGCCCATCACCAGTAGCTGGATGTCTAGCGAGCCTGAGGTGTAAAATAGATCAACGACAATGCGCCGTCTTTCAAGAGACGGCACGTCACCAAACCCAGCTCTCAGGTTCCGCACTACAGCAGCAGGCCCATCTTTCTTGTCCATAGTGTTGCTGTCACTTGCGTGTTCCTTTTTGCCGCACTAGACCTCGCACCGGCATATATGCATCATTCAAATCCCGAATCTTTGTTAGTCTCCTGCATAATGCAAGATAAGAAAAATCTAGAGCCAAAACTTGGGACCCGGGTGATGGCCCGGGGGATTCGCAGTTCGACTATTTTTTGAAGTTTTTTTCGATTTTTCTTCACAATATTAACATCTTTTTAGAACTACAACGAGGTAATTGCACATGTGACTTACTACGATCTGTTGTGTGAAAATGACAGGCTATGCGCCTCGAATCATCGCACTGTTACAGGCTTAGCCCAATGTAGAGGCGTACTGTACGACCGAAACCACCCGCTAGCGCATAGCTTCAGACGAAAAGGAGTGATCGAGAAAAAACACATCATACACGTACCATTCGCGCAGCCTAAGTGAAAGTTCTCATACAGCCCTTTCGTCGATAGCTTCAGAAACACACCACCGTGCTCCAGTCGTGTCGGTCGAGTACGCAATATACCCTGCAATATGGCGTTGTCTCGGCTTAGTTCGTCAATTAAACTTTTTAATTGCAGCAATAAAGATTCAGTGTTCTCTCAGGTGCATCATCCACCTGCCCTTTGCATGCTCTCCTTATTGTCTAGAACCCTTCCATCCATCATGTCCGCAATTTCATTGATCTTGCAGCGCCAAACATCATTTTTCTTACAATTCGTTACAATCACGGGTGCATCACTTTACACCACTTCGTGCTACTTGGCATAGTAACAATAGCAACTATATTAGTGATCGTAAATGGCCCATGCTGATTTGGATATTACTTCCTTATGCGCGACGTGATGCCCGTGTTCTTGATCATCGCACACCCTTCCACGTGATTCCCCTTGAGCCACTCAGTGGCCACAGACCAGAGAACAACCAATTTTGGAGTCCACGATCGTACCGTTCTCGTCCGCTTGGACCTGTAACTTCATCACGTCGCTACAGGCGAGTGCGCGCAACAAGGCCAGCGCCCACGTCCTTCACAGATCATCCGGAGCGTCAGGGGTCGACTCCCTGGACTCTTAACCCTAAGGTCGATCGAATGTCATTCCACGACATCTGCTCAGTGAAGCATATGGAACGTCGCTCGAATGTTGTTCCATGACATTCATAAACAGTGGGCATACGACAGTTCTTCGAACTGCGAACAAAATATCTTATGCATTACGCAGTGTGCGCACAACATGAAGAGCTTGGTGCCCCACCTATGAGGTTTTGCCATCATATCCACCATCATCTTGATGAAACCGCTGCGGCTTGGAAGAATAACCTCGTCAAATGGTAGCTCGGCAGGAGGATCGTATCCTTCACGAAATGTCTTCTGAAGGAAATCAACGGCTTTGAGGATCTTCCACACGCGATCCGTCTTGGCTCTTGGGTCATCATTGTCATTGAAATACAGACGGCTGTCGCGAAGACGTAACAGAACTGAATCCACCACGAAATATTGCACCATCGTCGGTAGTCTTCCATGGTTAGCAAGTTTTTCACAGTTTGGAGCTATAGAACGCGCGATCAGTAGCCCCATTGAGCGACACAGATCATGGTGCATGATGGGAGCGAAGGATTGCAGTTGCTGATGTATGCCACGCTTGGTTTTGTTCTTCATGTCTGGTTTGAGTCGGAATTTGTTTATGTGGGGCTTGTAAGCGTCCTCCACACGTTGGGCCATCCTATCGCGTTGGTTCTTGTTAGAGCATATGGCTATGGGCTGCGACAACCCCACGGGAAGAAAGTAGAAGAATGATGCCACAGGTGAGCCGCCAGGACGCATAACTTCAGGTGCAGGTCCAGCGTAGCCTTGCTAAAACTTAGGGTAGTTTGCTTGGTTGTCGACAGCGGCGTACGCTTGCTGAAGCGTTGCATAAATATCTGGTTGTTGTACAGGCCGCCACCCCGTTTCCAAAAAGTTTCTGAGTACGTCTTTCATTGGCTTTCCATCGAGAACGGCATCGCGACCTCCCATCTCCTTCATGAATCTCTCGGCAAGTGAAATCTCCAGGCGGTTTTGCTTAGAATTGGATTCTGATGGGCATTCATTGACTAATACAGATCCAGTCTCTGCCACATTCGATAGTAAATCGCCATCTGCTGCCTGGACCCCGAATCATGTGCTCCATATTCCGATTGTGCATCGTCACACCGCGCTGTGTTCAAATTGTCGGTAGTATCAGCTTGAATATCTGCCAATAAAAGTACAAATACAATTGTTAGATAACTAGCATATTCACCTAAACTGCATATGTATGATTGCTAAGTTGCATATCATCAACGTACCGTTTCCTTCACCTTCACATGCAGAGTACGCACTGGCGACGTCATCGTCACTTCCAACTACTGTGGTGTAGTAATTCCCATGGCAACTCTAGCTACTAGTGTAGGTAGGATAAACCCACAACAATACGTCCACCAGAACGGTAAACGATGGTTCGGGCGTGATCTGAAGACGCAGACTCAGCACTTACACCGGGAAAGACTGGACCCGCAAATCGCTTATATAGGCCAACCAGTAAAATTAAGAGCACTCTACTAGCACGAGCAAAGCTAGTAACGTGTTATGAATCCTCGTGGTCTCAACAGCGAAAAAGGTACCAAGCACGGGTAAACCTTTTACGAGGGCACCGAGTGTTCAACACTCGACTGGAAGAATATATGGGAGGCACCTCGCTCTCCCCAACACGTGCAAATAGGCACAATAAAGCCGTCACGTAAACTTCCCATACATAATTGGCCAAATACACGCACTCTCTTGGCCTTGCCGGGTGAACCCTCGCTAGTAAGCTTCGAGTCCACCAACAGGCATAACACACCCAAACAAGCTTATCCAGACGCTTACCTTGAAACCGGACCTCGCTCGTGTGCTTGAGTGGAAATTCTGTTCTGTTATTCGTTATACCCTTTCGGGCTCTTCCCAATATGCAATCCTAATCGTGTATACAAATATCAAGTGAACTATGACCTGTTATGGATCGCTACACGTGCCAACAGTTACCTCAGCTCCTTCTCAGGTCTCTGCCGAGCGTTCAACTGCTAGTCGCACCCATCGAAGAGTCGCCCAAACCGTCACCGAGTTGTAGTACCGTAGTCCGTCGGTTCTTGACCGCTGAATGTGAATCCAGCTTCACCGATACGAACCACCCGACTTGAGTGACATCTTGGTCATAGTCGGACCCGACGAACGTTCAGTAGCGATGTATCCTTGGTCACCTTGTATCGTGATCACCACCTGTCGCATGACCGAGAGTTCGTGGCTTGAGCAACTTGAATGTAGCCACTTCAGCGATTACTTGGAAATCACTGAACCACAACTGCCCCTGTCGCAATGGAAGCCACGCCATTGGTGCCCGTTGTGAGATTGCATCATTCTGCAAGTCTCTTTCGCCGTGCAGCCATGTCTCGTAGTGAGTCCCGTCCTTGTGGCGCTTTCCACCAGATTTTACATCGCCCGCACGAAGCAATCATGCCACACCGACGACGTGATCCTGCGGGCTTAACCCCCCCCCCCCCAACGCCCAAACGTTGTGTCTGACAGCATGAATCATGTTGTACATCCAGCATGTTTGTATAGGGATTGGCTCGGAAAATGGCCAAAATATAGTGAAATCAAGTATAAGCAAATCATGGACAAAACCGCTGCACAAGGGCAAATGCACAGGGGTAGGTACATTCGATATAGAAACAGTGCATGTATAAGCCCCCCACTGGTGGCTGACATTCCACCAACCCCTCATTTCGAAAGATTCTACGAGGAGCAAAATGGCGCACAAGGAGACGCGAAGCAAGCATCAGCGCTTCCTGCAGCGCCTTGAAGGACTTAGCAGCGAAGACCGTCAGCGTATACAGAAGGAGCACGTCGCGTATATGAATGGAGAGCGATCCATGGATGCCAATTTTGGGGAAAGCGAGACTGCAGCTCTGTCTGCTGTTCGCTCGTCGCAGCGGGCTCCTCGTTCAACGCCCCGGTCGCCTATGGGGAAAGAATTAGCGTACCTGAAGGCCAAGAAGCGCCTTATTTCGGAGCAACGTAGCGCTGTGGCCGCTAAGACCGTGGCAGGAAGTGGCCGGAAGGCGCTAGTGGCAAGGAAGTCCAAGGACGATGATGAGGATTACATCCCTGCTGAAGATGACGTGGACTAGGACATCGAGAGCGACGTGGTGGTGAAGGCGACGGCGCCAAAGAAGAAGGTAGCTTCGAAGAAGACCGGTGAATTAGCGGAAGCCGGTTGCTGCGTCAAAGCAGCCGAAAATGACGAGGAAGCCAAGTGCGGCGATGCTGGCGAAGGAGAAGGCGAAGGCGGAGAAGAATGCTGCAGCGAGGAAGCGGTGTTAGGCCGCAGCTGCATTGAAAGTGGAGGGAGCGTCAGCACGGAGCGGGGCGCGGAGAAGAATATCTGAGAATGTGACGGGGTCACACAGCACCTTGTGCAGAGGAAGTTTATTTCCTCTAGAGTATACAAACTCTAAGTGAACGACCGTTCACGTGTCCCTGGTCTGAAGGGGACGAAGTACTCACTTGAGGGTACGATTAAGACTGAATGTATTTATAGGTAAACTTAGCTTGTTATCTAATACAAACTATAAGTTACCTATACTGAATCTAGGTAGATATGCAATGATTGGCTCCTAGAGCCCCTGGTACCATGTACCAGGTATCTCAAGAGTGACTGGGCACTCTTCATGTAACTTGGGTACACATGGGTTCGTATCCCGTTACAGAGAAGGAAGCTGAGCGTGAGAAGACTCGTCCAGTTCCGATTCCGAAGACTTCGAGAAACGTGGATGCATTGATGTCGTGGTAAGGTATGTTGTCATGTTGTATGATACTCCACGTACTCACATTATGTTGTGTTTCATGTAGTTCGATCCAACGTGATCAACCTCCCACCTCGCATTTGCCGTCAGATACAACATCTCGAAACGAAGTCAGGTACAGCATGTTGCGAGATACAGCATGTATTCGGTCTGTGTACATGTTGTATAAAGCAGCATTCAGCAGATACAGCATGACATAGTTGCTAATTTGTATTTACTTTGTATTGATGTGCATATAGCAACGAAGCCTCGGTTGCGCCGTCCTCTCATATTCCCAGTTCAATTGAGGCAATACCGGTGTCCTGCACTCCTGAAGATGTGGCATTTGAAGTGCTGGATTCAGATTGTGATGACACTGAAACTGAAATTTGTTTCGTTGACGATGACGAAGAATTGGAACGTGCGAAGGCGTCTACAAGAGCGGAAGAAGATGAAGAGCTGGATGACAACAGAGACAACAGCGATGATGATTCGGACGCGCCTGTTGCACCACTCCAGAACGAGGATCTGGAACACGTTGAGTTGTCCACTGGTGTTGGAGATGGCGGGCACGTGCGTCGCAGTTGGAACGTTCTGGAGAAAGAAGACATGGTGGGGTTTGCGAAGAGCGAATCCAACATGAGCGATCTGCGATCTGATGGATGGATACTCGGTACGTTTCCACGGGGTCTGACATGTCGTATCATACAGCATGTTTCTGATTGAGAGATGTTGTATCGTTCTCCTTTAGACCCCAGAGGACTTTCCTCCTGATTCTCGATATCCAGGTCTTTACGCTCGAAGTTACGGACCCACGGATGAAGTCATCGCTCTAGCGGATTCACCGCTGCAATTGTTCCTGTTCTTTATGCCGAAAGACCTGTGGAGGAAAGTGGCACGAGAATCAAACATATATTTTCTGTAGAATTTGACACTTCGTGTGAATAGCATGTTCGAGAATCAAAGAACACCAGGCAAGACATCCAAGGAGGACTTTATGGATAGAGAGTCGAGGAAAGATGATATTCAGCCTCACGAGATCATCCATGTGCTGGGTTTGTTGATGGCTCGAATGCTGAACCCGCATCGTCGCCGCTTTCGCGACCATTGGTGCACAAAGTCTGTTGGGGCCGTACCGCGAGGAACTTTCAATGGCTACATGCCTCGACACCGCTTCGAACATGTCATGGCCAACATCCATTTAACAAACAACGCAGACACACGTGTTTCCAGCGACCGAGCCTGGAAAATACGGTCGGTCGTGGACACATTGCAGGAAATCTTCCCCCGGGGATACAGTACACCACCCGTAATCTCTTTTGACGAAGGGATTATTCCATCTCGGAATCGCAGCAATTCTACGCGGCATTACTTGAGGGCGAAGCCGCACAAGTGGGGAACGAAGTTGTTCCTAACATGCTGCGCGGAAACTGCATACTGTATCCGGTACAAATTGCGAGTTGAACATGTTGTATCTGACGGGTTGTTAGTAACTGTATTTGTTGTATGTTCCAACATGTAGACTTGAAGTATACTGCGGAAAAGCCCAACATACTGAAGAATGTGGAAATGTTCCTGAAAGCGTACGCTATGCTGATCCAAATACAGGTCCATCGGCTGTGATTCGAAACCTGGAAGCCGTGCTGCCTGCTCCACAAGACAGCGTGCACCATTTGGACGTGACAGACAGGTTCTATACTTCGGTCCAGCTCGCACTTCAGCTACTCCGACGCAACGTGTACAGTATTGGGACGATACAAGCTGATAGAGTGGGGTATCCTCTTGAAATTGTCGAGAAAAACCGCGATCGCCCGAAAAGCATTCCACACGGGACAACAATAATGGCTGTCGCGAAGATATGTTCTCTCATGACAGGAATGATGTGGTGGTACCGAAAACCGGTCCAATTTCTTGGAACAGGCTCCAGCCGAGCAATGGAAACATGCAGTAAGTTGGGGTGATTTTATTGTTCCTATATTATGTCGATGCTAACTGCTGTTTGTGATGTGAAGTGCGACGTACCAAACAAAGCAGAGGAAGGCGAACTGCGGTCCCTTGCCCATCCATGGTGCGCGATTATCATCGGTGGATGGGCGGGGTTGACATTCACGACCAACTGCGTCTCCAGAGATACTCGCTGCAACTCCAAACATGGTGCAAGAAGTATAGAAAAGTATCTTTTTGGGGCTTGTGGACGTCGCGATTGTAAATGCTTATATAGTGTTCAGGGAAGGGCAGAAGAGATTTGATGCGAGGCCAGTGTCTCATGCTGAGTCCATGCTTGAACTCCACGCCGAAATTATGCAAATGACCGAAGCCGACTTCTCCGATCGGGTATGTTTTCCTGTTGTATGCACTACATGTTGTATATCACTCGTATCTCTTCCAGCAGAACCATGTTGTATTCATCACATGCTGTATCTGAATTATATGTTGTATCAATACGGCCTGTTCTAATGCGAAGACGTGCATGCCTGTAGGAAACACCTGATCCCGAGACCACCGTCGAACTTACTCCACAGTCGACTGCACACGAGCCGCTGGAATCCCCCGACTACCAAGTTGTCAATGGCGTGCTCAAGCGACGGGAGCGCCAATGCAAGGTTGTTCGCTTCTAAAGCGCCGCATTGGAGCACGCCAAGCGACGAAGTATTACTGTGCCGGTTGCAGCAAATCGGAGTAAGCTCAGTACGCGTGTGCATTGCAAACTTGCCATGGTATTCAACTGCGCTAATTTGTGTTTGCTATTTTGTAGGACATACTTGTGCAACAAAGTATGGAAACATAATTCCGGCAGCAAAACGACCTGCTTTCAGATTTGGCACTACAAATGGAAAAATCGAATTAAGCGGCCGCAGCGCGGCTGCGGCCGCGATATCCAGAACAGGGAAGCAGGAAGAGGGCGTCCGGGTGGCACAACTGAAAAACGGAAGCGACGCAACGACTAGAGGGACGGGGAACACTAAGAAGATTCGGACGAAGGAGTTGTCCAAGGTGATGATGCAGCTGCTGATGGGGACGCGGGTGAGGGCGCGGCTGATGGCGGCCATGGCGACAGCGCGAAAAATGAGGAATCGTAAGTGAGAACATGTAAGCTGGAGGCTAGCCTATGTTGAGTGAAGCTAGCGAAGCACTTGATGAGTCCCCCAATACATTCCGCTCTCTGTTCACATGCTCCGTCTCTAGATAAAAAGTGCACTTGACATACTGTGAACACGTTGCCGGATACAGCATTAGTCACTTACTAATGCTGTACATACAACATGATTGACGTGTTGTAGAGCGGACACATGTCGCGTTTTGCATAGACCGGGCTCGTACTTAAGTGAGACCATAGTAAAATCAAATTAATCTTGTCTCTAACATGCTGTATCGTACAACATGATTGAAAATAAGAAGATGGGGCCAAAAACGCCGTGGGCGTTGGGGGGTTAAGGGGTAGGTCTTACTATCCTGGTTCCCGATCATTGTTCGGTTCTTCATCACATCTTATCCAACATCAGAAACTTTGGCCGGACGACCCCGATCGCTCGGCTGAGTATCCACCGCTTGCAACGAACGCTGCCAAGAAAAACGCTTCTTCCGATGGATCCTGTGCTTGCTCCAGCAACTGCTGCTTCAGTACCTGCTACACCCTCGGCTTTTTTTTCATAGCTCCGCCAGCTGACGCTGAACCTCCAGAGCCGTTCACCATGGAGTCACTCCGCGATTTCCTCGCGGAGTCGATCAACGCTACGGTGGATACAACTCTTGCTGCATCTGACGCTGATGGTTCGACACTAAGTTCAGCTCAGTATCTCACCCCATCTTCAAAGCGACGTCCACACCTAGCACCGCCTGAACGATGCTCTCGGTTTCGACCAAGTGTTGGCGGCGCTACAGCCTCTCCCCGATATTTTACCCAATCTTCCGCGCGCGGTGAGCTTACCACTCAACTCATCGCATCTCGAGAAGAAGATACTGATGCCAGATGTCTATTCGTCCCCGTTTAACTCCAGGCCGAGTCTTTGGAGACTCTTATTAACCTGTCAACGGCTGAGATCAACGAGGTCTGCCGGGAGGTTAAGCACCTCAAGCAAACCGTCATTGACGCCATGGACAAGCAGATCGAGAGGGAGTACGGGGTCTTCAAGGCGACAGTTAGTGCCAACACCAGAGACACCACGGTGTTTAATCTGCTACAACATCATAATTCCAAATACTACATGTGAGAGACGAGGCCAAGGACCTCTTTGGCGGATTATGCTCTATGATGAACATCACAAAGGTACGCAAGGCACAGACGTTGCAAACTGTGGTGGAATGGTGCTCATGTTTTTGAGAGCTATAGGCAAAGCGTTACTATCCCGGCACTTTTGCGCTTTCTACGACTGCGATATCTACGGAATCGCCTTTCTTAGTTTGTCCTGTTAATGCTGAATGAAAACGGTCCTCGTCTAGTTTTTCTCTGTGAGACCCGACATTGACATTTTATAGAGCTACATGAAACCAAGAAGAGCACCTTTATTTTATTCTTTTTGAGTATATAACAATATAACGATCCATCATAATCGAGAAGCGGCTTGATAGATATTCAGGAGTATGTATTTAGCCAGCTCCGGTGTCTAAGGCAATTTAAAGAGGGCAGTTGTTCTCTTACCTACTGGCATCGAGGCTGTTAACACGAAGCTGTGTCTAAGCAAATCCTGCATAAAATCAGGCGCTACTCGGAATGAACGGGGGTAGGCTTGTTTAGATAGAGACAGGTCTTTATCCTCTGTCGAAACTAGTGGATACAAGCACTGCCCTTATTTGGGAAGAAGAGAATAAGAAACCTCAGCAGGATAGTCGTGGAGAAGCCCACCGCACGTGAGACGCGTAGTGAGAGGCAGCGCATCCATGAGCGTTTGGCTGGACAGATCATCGAAGAGCGGAAGCGGCTGCTCAAGAAGCATCAAGACTTCCTTGCAGGAAGGCGACAGGAAGGCGCCAATTTCGGAGACGATACGGCACCGCTGCGACCTCCATCATCTCGAGCGCCCATGACTAAGGACCTCGCCTATCTGCGCGCGCAGAAGTGGGGGTGTCGGAGCAGTGCCGCGACGTTGCTGCGAAGACGGTGGCCAGATTGGAGAAGGGCTCTGTGAAGCGGATGGCAAAGGACGACGCCGGTCACTTCATCCCTGAGGAGGATCATGACCACCCCGAAAACTACCACGAGGAGGAGGAGGTAGAAACGACGGTGGTGGCCAAGTGCCAGTAGGCTTTGATGAAGAACGGCAAGTGCAAGAGCAAAGCAACCAAGACCTACGGGAAGAAGACCAGCACAGCGCGACCAAAGCCCGCAGCGAAGGCCACGACAGCTCTGAAGACTCTGAATATGAAAAAACCAAGGATGCCAACCTCTGTAAAGATTGCAAAGGAGAAAGGGAAGGCGGCGAGGGTAGCTGCTTTCGGCGAGAATCGTTGTGCAGCTTCTGGCGCTGCGGAAGTGGATGAAATTGCTGTCATGACAGAAGCGCGCAATCGACATGATGAGATAGCTGACACAAAGACGAAAAAGAAGAAGAAAATCAGGACAATCCAGAACACATCGAGCGCCACGCCTCCAACAACGACGACGCCTTTCACGTCAAATGCACTGAAGACAACCATTGTCACTGGGCCACACAAGAAGAAGCGGAAGCCGGTGCCATCTTTACCACTTCCCGACGACGAGAACTCTATCAAGCTCATTGTGTCCGCAATCACCAAGGTACAGCATGGGCTATGATGTCTCATACTACATGATCCAGTGTCTCACTACTTCTTCCATGTAGGTATGTACAACGTGAACATGATCCAGCTTGTACTTGCAACGTGATAACACGTTGTCGCCTACAGCATATGGTGACGTACAACCTATATATTCCACCCACAAATATCACCTCTTACAACATGTGGAGTCACCAGCATGATTTGAAGTATGGATTCTAACGCTTGTGAATTATGAAATGCAATTTGAATTAGAATCGGCGACAACCGTGCGGGCACTCCACCGTCTACTATTCCTTCTGAGGTATTGAGGAGATGCTGGGTGCAGAAAACGATGAGTACGATAACCTCGGCCGTGAAGACACCGAAACCGAGTTCTGCTCTTGCGACGATGATGCGGAAAGTGAGCGCTGGGAACAAGAAGATCGAAGTGACGAAAAAGTGGACTGAAGCGATGAGGAAATGGATGGCCATACTGGCAATGAGACGACTTCACAAGAACAAGGTGTTGCTGCAGCAGACGCTAACGCTGTCGGTGAAGTAGTATGTGCGGAGAGTGGCGACGAAGTACAACCAAGCAGACCGTGAAATCTACTATACAAGGCAACGATGATAGACTTTGCAAAGGATAACTGCAATATGGCCGAGATGCGGGCAAGTGGGTGGACATGCAGTATGTGGTGCAGTGATTTCCAAGTAATCGCTGAAGTGGCTACATTCAAGTTGCTCAAGCCACGAACTCTCGGTCATGCGACAGGTGGTGATCACGATACAAGGTGACCAAGGATACATCGCTACTGAACGTTCGTCGGGTCCGACTATGACCAAGATGCCACTCAAGTCGGGTGGTTCGTATCGGTGAAGCTGGATTCACATTCAGCGGTCAAGAACCGACGGACTACGGTACTACGACTCGGTGACGGTTCGAGCGACTCTTCGGTGGGTGCGACTAGCAGTTGAACGCTCGACGGAGACATGAGAAGGCACAAGGACAGTTGAGGTAACTGTTGGCACGTGTAGCGATCCATAACGGATCATAGTTCACTTGATATTTGTATACATGATTAGGATTGCATATTAGGAAGAGCCCGAAAGGGCATAACGAATAACAGAACAGAATTTCCACTCAAGCACACGAGCGAGGTCCGGCTTCAAGGTAAGCGTCTGGATAAGCTTGTTTGGGTGTGTTATGCCTGTCGGTGGACTCGAAGCTTACTAGCGAGGGTTCATCCGGCAAGGCCAAGTGGGTGGGTGTATTGGCCGATTATATATCGGAAGTTTACGTGACGGCTTTATTGTGCCTATTTGCACGTGTTGGGGAGAGCGAGGTGCCTCCCATATATTCTTCCAGTCGAGTGTTGAACACTCGGTGCCCTCGTAAAAGGTTTACCCGTGCTTGGTACCTTTTTCGCTGTTGAGACCACGAGGATTCATAACACGTTACTAGCTTTGCTCGTGCTAGTAGAGTGCTCTTAATTTTACTGGTTGGCCTATATAAGCGATTTGCGGGTCCAGTCTTTCCCGGTGTAAGTGCTGAGTCTGCGTCTTCAGATCACGCCCGAACCATCGTTTACCGTTCTGGTGGACGTATTGTTGTGGGTTTATCCTACCTACACTAGTAGCTAGAGTTGCCATGGGAATTACTACACCACAAGTACGTGGAAGCAAAAAAAATATTAAGTGTATTGAGGCTGTATGATGCAACATGTGCTAACTATGACGATGTTGTATGCATATCCAGACGATCATACTACCGCAGGCAGATTATCATGGACTTTACTCTGACGAGCACGGACCGACGGACGAGGTTATTGCAATGGCTGTATCACCATTGAAGCTGTCCCTAAATTTCATACCCAATACTTTGTGGCAGCAAGTGGCCCTGGACCGATATTTTGCACAGAACTTGACTTCCCGTGTGAACAAAATGTTTGGCAAGCAGAAAACGCCTGGAAAGAAGACAAAGAAGATGTTCATGATGCAGGAAGCACGAAAGCCGGACATCAAGCCCCACGAGATTTTGCGCTTGATTTGACTGTTACTGGCACGCATGATAAAATCCCCACCGCCACCGTTTCCGTGACCACTGGTCATCAGCAACGAAAGGGGCTGTATCAAGGGGAATATTTTCGGATTTTATGTCGTTCAACAGTTTCGAGCAAATCATGGCTAATCTACATTTCTCAGATAACGCAGACGTATAGAGCGTGGAAAATTCGCTCCGTAATCGACACGCTGCAGGAAACGTTCCCTCGTGGATACAAGGTACCACCCATCCTCTCCTTCGACGAAGGGATTTTACCATCTCGCAACCGGAATAACCCGACACGGCAGTACCTCAAGCCAAAGCCGCACAAGTTGGGTACAAAACTGTTCCTGACATGCTGTTCAGAGACAGCATACTGACCTCAGGTACGATGATGCGAGTCCTCTAAAGGTCCCACAGTTATTTCTTTTAAGTTCAACATGTTGTATCTTACTGTATTGCATCATGCTATCACTGCCAACATTTAGACTTGAGGTTTATTGCGGTAAGGCTGAATACACAGCTGAAGCGGGGAATCCACCAAAAAGTCTGCTCTCAGCTAATCTAACACGGAACCCGCTGCTGCTATTCGAAACCTTGAAGCTGTTCTGAATCCTACTCACGACAAGGTATGCTACTTAGTTGTCACTGATCGGTTTTACACGTCGGGTCTAATTCGGATTTCAGTTGTTGCACTGCAACGTGTATAGTATGGTACAGTACTGGGAGACAAAGTTGAGCATCCACAAGAAATCATGGAGAAAGACCGAATCACCCAAAGAGCCTATCCCATGGAACAGTACGAATGGCTGTCGCAACATTGTTCACTCATGAGTGGGTTAGTGTGGTGGGACCGAAACTGGTGCAGTTCTTTGCCGCCGGGGCATGCCGAGAAATGAAACCTGCAGTACGTTGCTATAATTGCAGCTGAGTTAATGGTCACTAACTATTTATGTTGTGCGTCTTGCGTAGATCTGCGTTCGCGAGGCGGCTGGGATAGGTGGAATGTTATACCTTGCCCTTCTATGGTACGCGATTACCACAAGTGGATGGGCGGAGTTGATATTCACGATCAACTTCGTCTCCAGCGCTACTCAATTCGACTGCGAACCTGGTGCAAGACGAACTACAAGTCAATATTCATGGGGCTACTGGGTGTGGCTATCGCGAACGTGTACATTGTCTTCAGGGACGCCCAGAAGAGAAGCGATGCGAAGCCAACCACACATGCTGATTTTTTTTACTGGAGCTGCATGCTGAGATGCTAAAGATGACCGATAGGGATTTCGAAGAATGCGACGTCTACATGTTCTACCTGGCACATGCTGTCTATTTGACTTCTAGATTTGAACGCTGTGCGCTCAGATATGAGTTGTATGTTACACATGTTGTATGCTAAAAGTTTGATATGTGTTGATTAATTTTGTGGCTAGACTGATACGACTAAAACAAGCGACTCTGGAGGACTTGCTCCGCTGAGCACGAGCCACGCGAGAATCCTGACTACCAGGTTGTGAACGGTGTTCGTAAGCGTCGTCAACGTCAATGTAACGTGTGCTCGAATCGTAAGCGCCATATCGGACAGCGCCGCGGCACAAAGTACTACTGCGAAGGCTGCAGCAAGTCAGATCAAGCTCGGTACGTGTATTTATACTGATGAGTGTGTTGAGCGTCAAACTAATCGTGAAACATCCAGGACGTAACTCTGCAATACGGTGTGCCCTCACTACCCAGGGAACACAATGACGTGTTTCCAGATTTTGGTACTAAAAGTTAGATAGCTGAAACAAGCGGTCACACCCACGATGCGGCCGCGGCATTCAGAACCGAGCGTCCGGAGCAAGCGCTGGAGACAGAGCTACAGGGGAACGCAAGCGCCGAGCTCGATGCATAGACGACGAGAGAGATGAGGAAGAGGAAGTAGGAGAGAGCCCCGAACCAAGCTATGCTGGAAGTGATGATGAGATCAGTTCTGTGCATGAATGCAAGACTGGCTAGGTGGAAGGACTAGTTTTGACGAGGGGGGTAGTAAGCACTACAAGGCTACGATGCGTGCATTTTATATTTGAATACACTTACTTCGTCTTTTAGATTTGGGTAATGACCGTGCATACTTCACTATATTACTTGCTTTGTCTAATCTCTTGATAAAAAGGCCACTCGGACAACCCTCCAAAATCGACATCATGACGTCAGATACAGCATGTGAGGAGTCGGCATGTTGTACATCCAATGTTAACAAGGATTTGAATAGGGCTCGCGTGTCACTTTTTTCAAAAACGGTACACGTACTTAATCGAGACCATAGTAAAACTGATAAAGGTCACGGATCTTGGAGGACGTAGGGCTTGTAGGAAGCGAAGGGAGGAGTCACCACTCGGGGAAGAAGACCGGAGCGAAGACCACTTGAGGGGAAGAAGGAAGATTCTGAAGTGATTGATTTATCGGAGCTTACACTACTCTCACTACCTAGTCTGCATCCAATCGTTGGGGTCATCCAATCACCAACACTCTGCACTCGTCCAATCATCCTACTCGTCTAATCACTAGTGGCGTAATCAACGTATCATAATCATCGCGGGATCGTGTTGGACAGGTTCGGGAACCGGTATATACCGTCAGGAACCGGTAACCCTCAATAGGGCAGGCACGAAACTGAACCAACTAGCACTGCCACAAGTATTAGCGCCAGCAAAAAAGGATGTTGTCAAAGTCCAATAAAGTTGTTTCGCAGACGAGTAGAGCTACAAAAATGAATGGTATCTCAGATAACTCGTCTAACCAGTTTTTTTTTTCTTCATTTTCTTCTTTTTAGTTTTCTAACGCAGTTATGGATCAGCCCTCACTTTGTTGCACCTGATATTCTAGCACAATTCAAGATGGTTGATGCTAAAATTAAAATCAAACCTTACGTCGCTCGTACGATATCTATCCTATAGCCGCAAAAAAGCTGACAGCACTGATATCTACATCGACCTGAGTAAATCAGGATATACTTCACAAAGCCGACACCTCTGCGGTCGAAGTATAATTGCTTGGAAGACGATGTGGGGGTGGGAATTGACGGGCTCGGTGTCTATTCTGTCGAGACGTTGGAGACAATGGTAAAATTGCACAAGGGGATGAAGGTGGTTACACTTGTGAGAAAACTGTCACTTGGATTAACTCAATTGATTTTGCACTTTCTCTACCTTCGTGAGTCCAGGACAAGCAGATGCCAGCTTTGCTGGCAAAGCTCAAACCCACCCCTCTCGTCTCGTTACGGGTGTGCACTTAATTCTATACACAAGTCGATCAATTCAGCTGATTAGACTGTGCATGTTTCCGTTTTTGATTCAGGCTGAAGTGCTAAATAAATATTGTCAGCAGACCCAAGTCGATGAAGTTACAATTAGCGTCGTAATGGGCAAGCTGTTTAAGATGAGGAAGAACGCCATGGTGACTGATCCCGGCGCCATAGAGCCTGACGTTAGCGCACTCACGGTAGCGTCACTGACTGAACTAGAGTGCAGAACTATGACGGATCCGCTTTCAAGTATGTATGTCCTATGGTGCCGACATACGGGGTTACGGCGTATACGATGACCACGGATCAAATGATGACACGATCTGCCTCCTCCAATCAGACTAAATAACGCGTAGCATAACTAAATCAAAACCTACAAATAAACCGAGGCGTGATGTCGTCTCATACCACCCGCTCCACAGCCAACCGAAATTGGTTTTAGATCGCATTGTTGCGTTGCCCTTCCCTTTGCATAGGCTCCATTTCCTTCCTAGTCCGTTACTTGCCAGCAAAGCTTGCGAGTGTGCTATATTGAATTTTTTCAACGTGTCATCGCGATCCTAGCCAAGTCTCCTCCTCTGCGACTTGCTATTGCTGTTGGAGACCCACCGCTCTCGTTGCTCTTGAAGAATCGCTTGTAGCAATTCTTGACTTCGTGAAGGACATCCATAGTAGAGTAGTAAGTAGTAGTAAACGTGTTCTCGCGTTCATTACTCTAGGGTCGTCCATAGTAGAACCTCCGTTGAAAATCCTAAACACCAGCACTAGCAACGTTAATCACTAAAGATGTCTCGGAATGTCCAGCCAAATATTGATTTAGTATTAATATTTGCACTAATCCATTCAAGGTGCTCGCGTGGCCCAATGGATACGGCGCTGCCCTCCTAAGGCAGAGATTGCGGGTTCAAGTCCCGCCGTGAGTAAAATTTGTTAGTTGCGTTTTTGCTCTCCATACATCCGTTGATTTTTGCTAAGGCCATGGCGAGATTGGTCGCTTGACTCAGGGTACGTTGATCAACAACAGTGAGGTGGAATACTTTGCGATGACATGACTAA